TCCCCTTTCAGCCATGAGGCTGCCTGAATGCGACAGGACAGACCCTCTTTCCCTCCCCCCATTGCTCCATGAGTTCCAGCCTGGGGTCCGGCACGCACGCTAGGGAGGGTCCGCACAGCTGGCTGGGCATTCTTCCACCCCCTTCTGGCCGCACTGAGCCCGCACCCTGCAGGTGCCCCCTCCACCCCGGCTCTGGAGTCTGTGGGAACCAGACAGTTGGGGCTGTCCAGCCGGGCTCACTTCCTCCCAGGCCCCAGGGGACCTGCGGAGGGAGGAGGGAGCCACAGAGACTGAAGCCAGCGTGGCCGCCTGCCCGAGAGGGGTGTTTTGGAAGGGACAGGGCTGCCTGCCCAGCAAAGGGGTCTCCAGCCCCCTGAGCATCACCTCATGGGACATAAGACCCTCCAGCAAAGACCAGAAAGTATCCTTGGCCCCTCTTCTCTCCCTATACCCATGATCCAGGTGGGGGGACTGAAGTTCCGGAAGAAAGCCATCTGCCTCAGCAAGTCTGGTGTTGGAGGGTATGGGGACAGTGAGGTTTCAGGTCCCTAAGTTGTTCCTCTGATGGGGGCCACGACTATACCCACTTCTCCTGCTTCTACCCAAGGGGGCAGCTACAGAAGGCCAAAGGTCAAGGCTCAGTCTCTTCTAATCTGTACCCAGGGTAGCCACCGCCTCCCCCCATGCTTTCTCAGAGTCACCAGGAGACCTCAGAGAGCTGGGGGCTTGGGGAGTTCTCCCAGTCACGCCGGAAATCCAGACAAGGGAAGTGTGCCTGCCTTTTGAACCTTGGGTTCCCTGTCTGTGCAAGGGGTGAGGGGTGGCTTTTTAACCCTGGCATGCCAGGATTCAAAAAAAGCCCGCCTCCCTCTGGGGGGGTCACCCTGTGGGCCACGCTGCATCCTCACGCAAACTGCAGGTAGGGGCAGGGGGGTAGAGCCATACAGACCTGGTTTTGATTCCCTCTCTGCCACTCATTGGTCATTTGGAGCCGGAGCTAGTGAGCCCCAACTTCTTTGAGTCTCAGTTTCCACCACTGTTAAATGGAGATAACATTCCGTACCACCCAGGATTCGGTGAAAGGATATACACGAGTCCAGGACAGGATAACTGCCACAAATGGTCACAGGTATTGTGGCTGCTCGTAATGTGAGGTGCTGAGTCACAGAGTTTGGGGCTGGAGAATCAGCCCCTTGGTCCAGCCCAGCCTCACTCCCGCCTGGTGTCTCTCCTGGTTGCATCCCTCCTCTCTCTCTCCCACTCCCTGCTCCCACTTCCTCGGCCTTCCTGGGAAACTCCCTGAAGAAGGTCCCCAGCAGGAGAAAGCCTCATGTGGGACATTCCTATCTGGGGTCCCCCGTCCCTGCCATACCACCCCACAACCATATGCCCCCCACGGAGCCAGGTGTCCTGGCCCTCAGTCCCCAACCATCCAGCAAACTGACCCTCATCATCACACTGGCTTTATTGGCCCTGAGAGCCATAGAGTAAATCCCAAGGGAGCCCTGCTTCCCCTCACCCCCAAGTCTGTCCAGAGACCCTGGGCGCTGGCTGAGTGTTCACCACGCCAATCTTGGCTTCCTGTCCCGGCTCTTGTGGGCTTGCCAGGCCTGCGTCCTTTGAGAGCTCCCCAGATCCTAGAGTCAGGCTCAACCTGGAGGGTGTAGCTGGCAGAGTCTCTGCAGGGACTGCCTGAGGCCGGCTGGCTTCACTCAAAGAAGAACATTCCTGGCGTCCGGTATAGGCAGGAGGTCAGCCCCAGTGGGTAGCCGGAGCTTCCCTGGACAGGGAAGCTGCCTGCAACCCAGGGTTCCTTGGGGTCTGCTGGCAGGGGCAGCGGGGCCCGGAGAGAGGCTGGAGGGGTGGATGGTGCAGGGGAGGGGGCTGCTGAGGCCAAGAGGTGCTCAAGGCCAGGATCAGTCCCCATGCAGAAATTCAGCGCCTGCAGCCGGCACTGGTAGCTGCCCCCGATGGTGGCCTCGGAGGTCAAGATGGGGGCAGGGGCCTTGCTAAACCCCTCAGCCTCAGAGAAGCTGGCAGGAAAGCCAAATGCGGGGCTCGGGGAAGATGAGGTGGCCACGGGGAGCTCCCCTGGACCTGCAGGCTTGGGCGTGGGCATCTCCTTGGGCTCCGAGGGTGGCCGAGGCCTGGCATTGGTGGTGGCCGGGCACACACTGGCTGGCAAGGCCCCCACCAGACCCCCAAAGCTTAGGCCCTTGGGCTCTGGCGGCTCCAGTGGGAACGGGCATTGCATGCCAGTCGCAGCGTCGGGGGCTCCTAGGTCCTGGCTGGTGGCTCGGAGGGGTCTGCGGCGCACCTTGGCAGGGCCCTTGGCTCCCTCGGCGCCTGCCCGTCGGGTGAAGCGCCGGCGTCGGCGCAGGAAGCTGCCGTGCTCGAACATGTCATGGCAGTCAGGGTCCAGCGTCCAGTAGCTGCCCTTGCCCGGTTTGCGATCATCACGGGGCACCTTGACAAAGCACTCGTTGAGGGACAGGTTGTGGCGGATGCTGTTCTGCCAGCCGGGACGGTTGTGGCGGTAGAAGGCGAAGCGGCCCATGATGTAGCGGTAGATGCCACTGAGCGTGGCCCGCTGCCCCGGTGAGCTCTGGATGGCCATGGCAATCAGGGCGATGTAGCTGTAGGGGGGCTTGGTCGGCTCGGCCGCAGGGGCCAGGGGCCCGGGTGGGGGCTGCTGCTGCATGCTGACTGGGCTGGCCAGGCTGGCGGCTGCCGGAACCACGGGGGCCAGGCACGGTGTCCAGGGCTGGTGTCCGGCACAGCCTGCCCAGGCTGGTTAAAAGGCCCACTGGCCCAGCCTCCCAGCCTGGAAAGGCAAAAAGGGGTGGGCCCGCCAGGCTGCCCTCCCTTCTTCCCTCGCCCCCCTCCCACAAGGCCCAAGAGGGGCGGGCAGGAGAGGCCAGGATTGGGAAGCCGTGAGCAGCTGCCGGGGGTGAGGAGACAGGAGGGAAGGGACTGAGACCCTTAGCCCACATGTGCTGGCTGGTGGTGGCTGAGGAGGGACAGGATGTGAAACTGAGCGAGACAGAGACGAAACAAAGAGAGACAGAGGCCGAGATGGAAAGAGAGAGTGAAAAGAGACAGAGAGACAGAGACAAAGAGAGGTAAGGGCATAATAAGAGGGAGACAGGAACATACAGAGAAGATAGAGGCAGAGACTTAAAGAGAGACAAAGAGCAGAAAGAGACAGAAAACGGGAGACACACAGAGAGCCAGCCCCACGCACGTGCACACGTGCACACAGAGTACAGAAAAAGAATCACTGAATGAGAGAAAGAAAGGAATCCACAGAGATAGAGAGGAAGAGGGATACACACACACACACACACACATTAATGAGAGAGGAGGTAGCATCTGTGTCTGAACTGGAGAACAGGGAGTTCCTGTGAGAAAAGCCTCAGGGGCCTCTCGAGTCCCCACCTCTGGTTCCCCCTTTCTTTTCTCTTCCTCCTCCCAGGCCTGGGGTCTACTTTCTTCTCCCCACAGTGCAGAGCACTCGAGGTCACACTATTCCCTGCCCTCCTAGCTCTGGGGTCTACAAGGGGTGGGGCGCCTAGGGTGGGGACGAGGGCCGGCCCAACCCCATTTCCTGAGCCCTGGCGCCCTCTAGTGACTAGTGTGGGGAGGACAGACATCTGGACAGAGCCATCCACCCTCCCAAGAGGCTCTCAACCAAGACCCTGGCTGAGCCTTCATTTCCCATCTCTAAAATGGAGCTGAAGACTCTGCAGCTGTCCGGGCTGTGGTGGAGAGGCAACGGGCTCCCTTACACTGAATCCAGTGCCCTTTGAGAGCCTGGTACAGAGTAGGGGCTTGGGCATGACGAGGACTGTCACCCTGAGCTGAGGCTCCCCGATAGCTGCAGCCTTGGGCCGAGGGTACAGCGAAGCCCAGAACAGTCAAGCCTTCTGAAGGATGGGGCAACCTCCTCCACACTCTCCCACCCACAAGTAACCAAGTCATCGGGCCCCTACTGTGTGCCACTCTCCATGCCAGGCCAGCTCCCCTCCCCTCTCGACATTTACTTCTCAGACAAACTCTGCTCCGGAAGCCTTAATAGCTTCTCTTGAGTAGATGAGGAATGTGAGGTTCAGAGAAGTTAAGTGACTTGCCTGAGGTGGCACAGCTAGTCAGTGACAAAGCTGTGATTTCAACCCAGAATTCCGTAACTCCTTAACACTACTCCTTCTGTGAGGGGCAGGGGTAGAGGACTGTCACTGGGCCCCCACTGGAAAACTGGCTGTGACCCCCAAGGGAATAGGGAACCATGGTTTGCTCTATCCCAAGTGTCCAGTATCTGCCTGGAACAGAGTAGGTGCTCAATAAACATTCGTTGAATGAATTTTAAGACTGATTCTGCCCTTTATTGAATCATACAGGTTTCCCCCCATAAAAGTGGCTTATTAATATATCACTAAAAGATTTATTATGTTGCCATCTGTAAGAGAATTCCTATAAATAAAGTCAGAAATCAGAAAAGGTGAAAGGTCTGATATCTGGGGTAGAAAACAGTGACTTTACTGACAAGGCAGGGTCACTGCTTTCATGGTGGAGAGGGCTCCCTCCCAATTCTCAAGGACTCCCTACAACTTACAGTTTGCAAAGATTGGGGGGGCTTGGGCAGGGGCTGGACTCCTGGCTCCCACTTTGGCTTCTGTGCTAGGCCTGCCTCAGTTTCTCCAAAGACAGTATCTACTGGCGGTTGTTCAGTGGTTAGCATTTAAAGCCCAGGTTCAGGCTAAGTCCTCTGTTTTGGGACCCCCTCCCCTCACAATCCCAAAAGAAGAGAGACTTGTGGCAGGTGAAAGGAGGGTCTGGAAACTCACAGCCCCTCAGAGGTGGGGCAATTCTGTTACTGGTTGGGCTTCAGTCTAATCTATGCGGAGGATCTTATTATTGGTAAACTCAGCCCCTTTTCTTTTTGGCTGCACCTGGGGGCTTGTGGGATCTTAGTTCCCCCACGAGGGATCCCTCGAACCTGGGCCCCCAGCAGTGGAAGCACAGAGTCCTAACCACCAGGGAACTCCCAGTAAACTCAGCTTTAAGCAAACCTTATAATGGATCAATTGCAGGTAAGGTCTGCTTTAGGTAAACCGCTATGGGCATGTCCGGCTCTTCACAAAAAGATGAAGTCTTGTTTCTGACCTAATTGCTATTTCTGGAACCTCAAGGTCGAGTTTAGTTCCCAAGCCTGACGCCCCAGGCCCAGCTGCCCGGCTGTCCGCTTACGCGCCTCCTTCCTGGGTTCCCGGGGCTCCATCTCATTGGCTGAGAGGTTGAAGGCCGTGAGTGGCTTCCGCTGTCTCAACCTACCTGGGCGATGAGTGAGGCGAGACCTAAAGTCCCCTGGCTCAGCTGGGGCAGGGCTGGGGTGGGATCTGCACCCTGTGGGGACTGCTTCAGAGGGTACGGGAGGGGGAAACAACCGCTCAGGGCTGACTCAGCTGTGTCAGCAGGTGAGTGACGCTGTCGGAGATGCGGGGCTGGGAACGCGCCACCGAGGCACCTGGCCGTGGAGCTTCGAGTGTAGGAGGAGCTCCCGCGCGAAGACTGGCTCCACCTGCGGGGGGGGGGTGGGGGGGGGGCAATGAGCCAACCTTCCCCTTTACCCACACCCTTTGTTGGGGTGGGGGGGCGGGAGTGACAGCTCCTCTCCACATGCATTTTACATGCAAGGTCTTCCAGATCAGATAAGGCAGGTCCGGGGCGGAGCTGGGACTGGAGGGAGCAGTGAGAGGCCGTTCGGGGAGGCTGGAGCGTGTGGTTCTCCGCTGGAGTGGGCGGTGACTCACATGGGCCATAATGAGACGCTCCTCAGGCTGGTCCGGGGGCCCCGGGTACTCCTCGCCAAAGCACAGCCGGATCTGGTACTCGGGCTCCTGGCGACCATGATGCAGGTGGGCTCTCAGTTCTACGGGCACCGAGACTGTGGGGTCTGGGCCAAGATGGGGCGTCCCACCTGGTGCCCACCTTGTGCTCACATCCTATGCACACGTCCCGTAAGCCCACATCCCCGTTGTGTGCCCATGCCCTATGCCCACTTCCACGTCCCCACACCTGCCTCAGGTCCCACATCTGCTCCCACTTCTAGGTTTCATGCCCCGTGCCTCGTGCCCTATGCTCACTATCATGCCTTTATGCCCACCCCATGCCCACTGCCACTCACCTATGCCTATCTTGTGCCCAGTGCCCCCGATGCCCACCCTATGCATAACGCCCTATGACAACACGTGCCCAAGTCCTATGCTTATGTCCCACACCCAGTGCCCCAGCCTGCCTCGTGCCTACACCTCCCATACGCCTATGTCTAATCTGTGCCCAGCCCTCCCGATGCCCATATTCGTTCCCACCCCCGGTGCTTCTGCGTCATGTCCTTTGTTTCCATTCCCACTCTGGCCCAGCATCGTCAAGTCCATCGCCCCGCGCCCACATCTCGTGTGCCCACTCTCCTCTGTCCGAGTTCCTTTGCCGACCCCAGTGCCCGGCCACTCCGCCCCGCGCCGCCAGCGGCCCCGCTGTCGCGCTCTTACCCGCGAGGAAGCTGCGCGTGTCGAGGAGCTGGCAGGTGCGCTCTCGCTCCAGTTTGTTGGGCCGCGCGCGGTGCGGGGCGAGCGGGCCGCGCCAGTACACACGGCCCTGGCACAGGCGCTTGGCGAAGACGCCCTCGGGCGCCACCCAGAGCAGCACTCCGCGCTCCAGGTGGGGCAGCAGGCGCCGCAGGACGCGGGCGCCGGGCGGCGGCTCCGGGAAACGAACCTGCGCGACGCGCGGCGGCGACCCCAGCAGGAGCTCGGCGGCAGCGGCGGCTGCGCGCGGTCTCAGGCTGCAGCTCTCGGCCGCGCGCGCTGTGGCTTCGCGCACCAGCTCCGCGCCATAGAAGAGTCGCACGTGCAGCCAAAAATCTGCGGGAAAGGGAGGGGACGCGCGCCCGGCGTTGGCGGCGCCGGCTCCCCCTCCCCTCACAACAGGGCAGGGAACCCAGAGGTCACCCGGCCGCCACCTCGGGAATTTTTGACACTCCCTCCCATAAGTAATATTAGTAATTCTAGTAGTAGTGGTGGTAGTAAATAATAGCAGCTTCCAGTATAAACAAACTGGTAGTTGAGCTTCAAAAGCATAGGGTCTGGGGCCATCAGTACAATGGGGGCATGACACTGACGCCCTCCCAGCCCGAATTTCTGGGATTCTAGGAGTTTCTTCCTGGCAAATACTTTTAATGCCGGTAGAAATAAAAATCATCATAATAATAGCAACAACAACAACAAAACAGCAGCCTCCCATATGAAGAGCTAGCAGTATGCTCAGTGGTTAGGGCCGTGGGCTCTACAGCCAGGCCCTTGGGTTCTAATCTCTCACTGCCCCTTAGGAGCTGTGATCTGATAGTACCTTTCCCAGGGTTACTAACTGTGTGACCTTGGGCAGGGTTCTTAACCTCTGTGTCTGGTTTCTGCATCTGTAAAATGGGGAGAATGGCAGTATCTATCTCACAGGACTGTGGGGAGACTTAGAAGGATGCCTGGTATAAGCTAAGCCCTCAACAAATGTTAGCTGTTGTTATCTGGAGTCTGGGCTGGGTGCTTTGGGTGGGAGACAGAGGCTATTCGGCACCAACCCTAGGTCCTCCCCAGTTCTGCACAGCAGTCAGGGGAGAGGGCCTTCGGATTCCTTACCGGGGTTGCTGAAGTCCTCAGAAGGCAAGGGGCCCCAGGGGTGAGCAGGATCCTGAGCCTGGTACCCTGGAGAAGGAGGGGAAGCAGTAAGGCATCGCCTCACCCTGGGTCCCTCGACCCCTAGATCAAGGTCCTGGAAGAGGCCGGGGAGGAGGCAGGGGTGGGTGAGGAGACTCAGTCCTTACTGTGGCCAGCCAAAGGGCCTGGGGGCAGGGAGGCCAGCCTGGGGGGCTGCTTCTTGTCTTTATCCTCTGTGACTAATCTGGAGCCAACCTGAGCATCGGGAGAAAGGGTCGTGAGTGTGGAAGAGGAGACCTGTGGGCCACAGGAGCTCCCAGACAGTCTAAACTGGGGCAGGGGGAGGTCTGGACAGACTGAAAGCCAGCCGGGCTTGATAGGGACTTGGAAGTTTACCCCGTAGAGTTAAAGAGAGAGTTGATGGGGTTTTTGGAGGTGAAGCTCATTGTGATTGGGAGAGAAAAGTGCTAGCAGTGAATGAGGAGATGGGGTGATAGAAATGGGGTGATAGAGCAATGGAATGGGGGCACTTGGGACAGTGGAATGAACCAGGCTAATGGGGAGATGGGAACAGAGGAATGAAACGCAGATGACGGGGGAGAGGTGATGGGGTGGAGTAAGAGTGATACAGACAGTGATGGAGATAGAGATGACAGGGGTGATGGCAACAATGAGAGCTAGAGGTGATGCAGGTGAAGGGAATACAGTGATGGAACTGGATCTGATGGGATGAGTGGGGACAGACTGATTGATCCCGTGATGACAGGGAAGAGGGGCTGAAATGGGAGAAAATAGGGCTGGCGCAGACAGAGAGATGGAGGTGAAGATGGTGGAGACGATGGGACAGAAATGATGGAGTCAAGGAGAATAGAATGAAGGAGATGAAAATGATGGCAGAGATGGAGTAGAGGCAGGAAGTAGAGCTGATGGATGGGAACAGAGATGGGCAGGAGCTGATGGAGAGGATGAGATGAATGTGCTGGAGATTATATAGGGGGTGGTATGGGTGCGAGGTGCCTGGGCTAGCAAGGCTATAGGGGCTGGAAGGACTCACTGACCTGCTCTTCTGTCTTGCAGGCCGGCTCTGTCACTTCTCCAGGGGGCACCTGCTGGCTATGAAGAATGCCCTCCTCTTTACAGGGGGCACAAGCCCTGGTAACTGGATGAAGGAAGAAATAGTCTGTGGTTTCCTGGGCCCCAAGGGGAACCCCCCAACCTTGTCTGAGGTGAGCCCAGACCAGAGTAACCCAGCTCACTGCATGATCTCAGGCAAGGCCCACCTCTCTCTGGGCTCAGTTTCCTCCTTTTCGAATGGGGAGATAAACTGTAAGGTCCTTCTAGGTTTACCAGCCCATGAGCTTATTTAAGCTCAATAAGCCCACCATTTCCCATTTTACAGATGGGCAATGTGAGGTCCTTATTGCCCAGAGAGCCATCCTCAGCTGCTACCTCCAGGGACAGGATGGTACCTGGGTTGTGGGCACCGTCAGACAGGAGCCGGTAGACCTTGTAGGGGTTGGAGATGTCCAGCTGGTTGAGCGAGCGCACCTCACAGAAGTCAGCGCTCTTGTTGAGGGCACAGCGGAGCCACGTCTTCCAGGTGGAGGGGTCCTCCTTGTCAACGCCCTCTAGGTGCTTGCCCTTGTATATGGCCCAGGCCTGGGGGTGAGCAGGGGCATTGGGGGAGGAATAGCGTGGGAGATGGGGTTGGTGCCATGCAAAGGGATGAGGGCTGCCTTGCCTCCCACCCTTCTCTCTCTCTCCCTCTGTCCCTCGGCCCCTCCCTCCTTCCTTCTCTTCCTCCCTCCCTCCATCCAACATATATTCCTTGAGCTCCTGCTGTGTGCCAGGCCCAAGTTAAGGACTAAATGGGGAACAACAAGACATACATGGTCCCTGTTCTTAAGGAGCTCAAGTCTAATGGGAGAAGCAGCCGCAAACAGCTGAAAGGAAATAACTATATTCCAAATTATGGATTGTGATAAATAAAAAAAATAATACGATGGGATATAAAATGCTGGCAGTGACTTGCTATCTGGAGAGCCATAAAACTGAATCCTTACCTATTGCCACAAACAAAGTGGACTCCAGATGATTAAAAAACCAAAAGTAAGAGGTAAGACTATAAACTTAATAGGAAAGAATGTAGAGGAAAATCTTCTGGGGCAGAGAATCCTTCTTAACCAAAATTGTAAAGGCATGAACCATAAGGCAAAAACATTGCAATGTCTGAAATCAGCAAGGGGCTAAGATCTAGAACATACAGGAACTTCTGCAAATCAGTAAGAAACAGAAAGCATCCCCTAAAGAAACATTCTTATCAAAGGACAAGGATGGGTGGTTTACAGAAGAGGAAACCAGAATCCCATGAGCATAGGAGAAGGTACTGAAACTCATTAGTGCCAGAGAAATGCAAGTAAAAATATGAGATATCACCTGTAAGCTTACAAAATTTAGCCAGTTGGATAAGCCAGTAGTTGGTTGGGATGTGGACACAGTTGGTGGGCATGGAATGGGAGCAGAGTCTCTGGAGGGCAATCAGGCATGCCTAGTCCAATTAAGTATAAGCATACCCTGTGAGCAGAAATTCCAATTCCAAAGGAATTCTCACATAGGCTCAAGAGGGGACCAGGGCAAGCAGATCCACTGCAGCGTTATTTGTGGTCTGGAAAGCAAATTTGTGTCCATCCCTGGGAAAGTAGGTGGGGGAGTGCGTGTAATAGATGCCCACTGTAGAGTTCTATGCAGCATCTAGAAACAAATTAGATGGACAGAGAACAAGAATAGATCTTCAGAGCATGACCTTGAGTGAAATAAAAGTAAGACACAGAATGAGATCTATGACACAATTATGATGTATATAAGGTAAGAATACACACGAAACAGCAATGCCCACTTTGCAAGAAAACATACAAACCAAAGATACTCATTAAACACATTAGAATGACTGTTGTGGTAGAGGGACTAAATAAATAAATAAATATGAGGGGCTGCTTTAGAGAGGGTGATCAGAAAAGGCCTCGCGGAGGAAGTGGTATTTGGGCTGAAGCCTGATTGAAAAGAAGGATGGAGTCGGACAAAGATCTGGGGGAAGGCTGTACTAGGTAGAAGGGACAGCGAGTGCAGAGGTCCTGGGGTAGGAGAGATTCAAGGAAGGCCAGTGAGGCTGGAGCACAGTAGTCAAAGGGGAGGACAGTAGGAGATGTCTTGTTCGCATTGCTCACTTTCAGGGATGGGGGGCGGGGGATTTAACTGATAAATCACACTCAGTCATTGCTCTTGGAGATCCCAGGCTTAGTGGGACACCAGACTGAAAAGCCACAGTTCCTTTGTTGGTGTCTCTTGCCAGTGGTGAGACCTTTAAGGCTTGATTTTGCTGTCTGTAAACTGTGCCAGTAATACCTCACCTCACCTGGTTGTGGCACGTGTAAGATGAGCGGTCTGTGTAATGTGCTTAGCGCAGCACCCGGCACACACTGCTTATTTATTGCAGTACTTATTCATTATGTTAAGGATGCTCTAACTCAAAGGTAACCTGGGCTCAAGGCACAGGGCGTTATCACCATGATGAGAGGGGGATCTTTGGGGACACTGCCGTGCCCCTAAGCATTTAAAGTGGTGCCTGGCACACAGGAGATGCTCAATAAATATTTGTTGAATGAATCAAATTGGGCCTCGAAGGATCAATAGGAAGTTGCCAGGTGGAGTGACGTTCCCGGCAGGGGGAACAGCTCGAGCAAAGGCATGGAAGCGCGTGATGCACGCAGGGGACAGTGGGCAGCCTGGTGTGACTGGAGCTGATGTGCGTGTCTGAGGGTATGTGTACTGTTGATTCTTGTTATTCATGGTAGTTGTGTTCTATAAAATTTACACAACCACTGAGTTAGCAAACACTGAACCATCACTCCTAAGGGAAATACAAGGCTAGGTTCCTGCGCGCCTCTGGTCACCCCATTTTCATCAACTGGTCAATACATAACCTTGTTCTATGAGTGTTTCTGTTGAAGGACACCTTATTTAATATAAACTGTTCATTCATTAACAGTGAACTCACGGCCAACAACACTGTAACTCACGTCTGAAAGAAGCTTACAGACGTCACAGCCTTCCTGTGCTCAGGAATACTGACAGCGCTTCAACACTGTGTAAGCTTGGGGGTCATTTTAAACAGTGAAATCACCGACAAAAAGCACAAAGATATTAAAAACGTGGACTAAATATTGTCTGCGAAAGGACACCTGTTTACAGTAGAAGAGCTGAAACTAGAGTTGTCACCTTGCTCAACCTCAGCTGGGAACATGCATGTTGGTGACAATTTTTTTTTGCCATCCTGTGCATGTCTGTGAATGGCTGCAAAAGTGCCTTGAATATCAATTTTGAGATTACATATAATTTTAGCGAGTAAGAGAATTTGTAAATATGGAATCTGTGAATAATGAGGATCAACTGTATGTGGTGGGGGGAAGGGGAGGAGGAATTAACGAAGAAGACAGGTTGAAGCTGGATCATGAATGTCCTCGAAGGCCAAGATTTATCCCGTGGACTTTGAGGCACCAGGAGGGCCTGAAGCCAGGGAGTCACATGTGTGTATCAGTGGTGGGTTGAGGGGTGGGTTAAAGCAGTGCCAAAGAGGGACAGGGAGGGCCAGTCCCCAGAATCTCCCACTTCTGAACGGCACATAGCCTTAAGGGGCAGGCCAGGTAACCACCTGTTCAACACTTACTGAACCAGTCCTCTGTGGGCCAGGCACTGTGCTCAAGGTCACCACCCACGGGCAGCTGGAGGAGGCAGACTCATACAAGGCACTTATAATTCATAGGGAAAGCTGTTCCATGGAGGAAGCAGAAGGAATCAGGGACGACTTGGGAGAAGCACTGAGAGCTTCATAAATGCATTAAGCAAATGAATGCATCAGGGAAGGCTTGTCTTTAGTAAGAGATGTTTAAGCTGAGCATGATGGGAGTTGGCCAGTGAAGGTGAAGAAGAAAGGGTGTTCCAGGCAGGGGGAACAGAATGTACAAAGTTCTCACGGTGAGAGAGACAGGAAGCATTTGGAGACTGAAAGAACTGTCTGGCTGGGTCTAAAGTTGGGGAAGGAGTGGAGAGAGACGGACAGAGGCCAGGGAGGAGCAGTTCATGCAGGGCTTTGAGGTCTTGGTAAGGAGTTGGGACTTTATCACAAGAGCAATGGGGAGCCATGGAAGGATTCTGAGTAGGGGAGTGCCAAGGCAAGATTTACATTTAGAAATATCCCTCTGGAGGACTGAGGGGAAAGCTGAGGGATGGGAAAGCAGGGCATTCAGTTATCCTGGTGAGAGATGGTGGGAACGGGTCCACGTAGACGGATGAAAGAGCAGTTCTGCAGTAAGAGCCGAAGGCCTTGGAAATGGATTAGAATGAGATTGCAGGAGAGGGGAGCGGCCAGGGTTCAGGTGCCCAGCTCCGGGGTCTAGGTGGCGATCGGTGCCATCTTCCATTTTGGGAAACACAGACGTTTGTAGGAGGGAGCTGATGACCGTGCTATTAAGGAGGTGCTGAGTCTGAGAGGTCTGGGCTGTCAGACCAGCAGGCTTGGGGCTTGGCTGGGAGGCTGGGAAACGCTGGGCTCCACACTGAGGCTGTGGAAGGGGAGAGTGGGACATGAGGAGGGAGGTCCAGGAGAGAGTGCTGAGAGCCCCAAAAGAGAAGAAGGGATGGAGGCTGAGAAGCGGGGTCCAGGAAGGTAGGAGGAAAACAGGTCAGGGTTGGAGTGGGGAGGGGACACAGATCCTGGAAACCAAGTGAGACTGTTTCAAGAAGGGAGGGTCCACTAGACACAAACCCACCCAGGGGTCCAAGAAGATGATAGTAATGGCATCCTTGGATTTGGCAAAATTAGAGACGTTAGCAGGAGGGAGAGGAACCACACTGTGGGTGGGGGAGGAGCTGGGGGGGGTATGAGGGGGGGGGGGTATGTTTAGAGAGGTTAGCGGGGGGGGGAGGAACCACACGGTGGGTGGGGGGTGGGGAGGGGGGTTATGAGTGAGGGCGTTGATGTCCAGAAGACCCTTTCTAGGTGCTTCACCCTGTGAAAGGAGAGGGGAGGCCAGAGAAGCAGGAGCTGGAGACGTGGTGTTTGGGATGGTGGCGGTGGCCTGGGATGCAGTTGGTTGCTTTTTGCTCATGGGAGAGATTCCAGTTTCAATCTTGGTGGGAAAGAGCCAGTTTGGAGGAAGTTAATGGTATCTAAGGAAAGGGAGGGCATCCCTGGAGGAGGTCCCTGAGAAGGGCTGGTGTTGGAAAGCACAGAAAATGTCCCCGAAGCTGCTGGGGTTAACAGTTTACAGGTGGGAAATGGAGGGAATTTCCATGGTGGCGGTGGCATCTAATTTCCTCAAGGAGAGGGAGGAGAGGTCCCCTGAGGCGTGGGGATGGTGCAGGTTATGCAGCCCTTGTCTGATTCTCTTTTAAGAGGGTGTGGGAGGGTTTCCCATGTACAGAGAACACTACCCTCAACCTAGAGACAACTGAGGTTAAGGGGTGAACCTGTGGCCCGAGGTGACAGCGTGTCGGGTCGGTTCCGGACTCTGCGACCGTGTGAGCGCAGAGCCCTCCCGGGCCGGGCTGGCGACCCCCGGCCCGCGCATCCTTACCCTGAAGAGCGCCGCGTCCTGCTGCGCCTGGTAGCCCTGCTTGGCTGCGTGCTTCCAGGGGATGCGGAAGAGGGTCTCGCCTGCGTCCTCCCAGCGCAGCCCAGCGTAGCGCCCGCTCTCGATCTGCGCCACCAGCCAGTCGCGAAGACGCAGGGGACCCTCGGCCCCCGCCATGAGTCGCCTGCTGTCGGGGACCCTCCCTTCGTCCCTCCGCCATTGGTCGCTGGCCATCGGGGACACAGTGCTCCGGGGACCAGGTCTGGGGAGCGCGGCGGCCAGACCCCAGCGCGACAGGGGATCGCGGGGGCCACCTGGACGGCGAGTGGAGGCGGCGAAAGCGAAAGGCTGGGCAGGAGGCTTCACTTTCCTTTCTGCTCCCCAGAGGCCCTGTCGCCCCTCCCCATGTCGCCTGGCCTGGAGGGCGTCGGTCCTCACGTCGGGGGCAGCTAGAGGCACCACCAAGACCCACTGAAGGGTGCGGGGTGGGGTAGCCCGGGTTCTGCTCATCCCTGGAGGGGGGCCCCCGAAGGGCGCTCAGAGGCGTCCCTTGCACCATCCCTGCACCTGTTTTCTGCTCTTCCCAGCCTACCAGAAACTTAGTCTCTTTCCAGGACCTGGACTGTAGAGGTGGGAGAAGCATAGTGCTTCTCAGACTAACTCCCAGTAGAATTGGGAGGCAGAGACTGGTTTTAAATGCATACTCCTAGCCGCCATCCCAGACCTGAAGAATCAGATTTTCTGGGCAAGAAGTCCAGGAACGTGCATTTTAAACAAGTCCCGCCATGGGATTCTGATCCAGGTGGTCCATGGGTCACCCTTGGAGAAATATTTCCTTAAATATTGGGAGTCCCTTTCTGATTGCTCACCATGGTGCTGGGCCTGGCTGAAGCCTTTTCTGCAGTGTCTCAGTTGGTTCTCACAACAGCACGTGAGATGAGTGTAATTACCTACTTTGTTAAGAGGACTGAGGTCACAGAGCTAGTGCCTGGGGGAGCCAGAATCTGAACCCAGGACTCTCTGCTCCCAGAGCCCAGGGGCCCGAACAGTGCCCCACACTGCCTCCCAACAGCTGCACCTGGAGTTTATGGATTCTGGGTGGGGTCCGTGACCTGCCCAAAGTGTATGCAATTTTTTCATCTCTACGCATTTTTCTAGGGTTTGTATCTTTCATTAAATTGTCAAAGGGGGGTTGTGATATGAAAGTGGTCAAGTAGCTCCGACTGCTCCACCCTGGCTGTGTACCTGGGGAAACTGAGGCTCTGAGAGGGAGAAACCACCCCTCACTGCAGGGAGCACCGAGCTGGATGGCCAGCCAGTGTTGACCAGAGGCTGGGAGCACTGTCCCTCATGTGTACCTGTCAGGGGCCTTGCTTCATGATCCCCACCTTCTGTCCTCATATGGCAGCAGCCACCCAGTTCTGACATTTCTACAGTCACAGCCAGGATTCAAAATCAGAGCTGTAGGACTCTGATGGAGCACAAAAAATTTCATATGATTAAATACAAGAGTATGGGACTTCCCTGGTGGTGCAATGGTTAAGGATCCACCTGCCAATGCAGGGGACATGGGTTCGATCCCTGGTCCAGGAAGATCCCACATGTCACGGAGCAACCAAGCCCATGTGCCACAACTACTGAGCCTGTGCTCTAGAGCCCGCAAGCCACAACTACTGAGCCCACATGCCACAACTACTGAAGCCCGTGCGCTTAGAGCCTGTGCTCCGCAACAAGAGAAGCCACTGCAATGAGAAACCCGCGCACCACAACGAAGAGTAGCCTCCGCTCGCCACAACTAGAGAAACCCTGAGTGCAGCAGCGAAGATCGAACACAACCAAAAATAAAATAAAAAATTAAAAAATAAAATAAAAAATTAAAAAATAAAATAAAAAAATAAATACAAGAGTAATAATTACATCTAAGCAGGAGTATTGACTGTGTCAGGCAATCTCTTCATTTTTTTCTGGGGGGGCGGTGGGCAGAGTCATAGTAATGACAAGGATGGGGTCCACAGCCAGACTGCCTGGATTCAAATCCCAGCCCCACCACTTGCTAGCTGATCAGCCACTTCACAGGGCTGCTTGGGGATTCAATGAGATGCAGGTAAAGTGTTTGGCACATTGCCTGGCCCATAGTGAGTGCTCAATAAATGAGTGGTATTATTGCTGTTGTTGAGCCAGAGTGTGGTAAAAGCAGCAATGGAAGGGGGCGGGGAGCATCATGAAGGACCTGGAACATCAGATCAAGGGGTTTTGTTTGTCCTAGAGATGATAGGAATGGAGTTTTTTTTTTTTTTGGCTGAGTTGGGTCTTCGTTGCCGCACATGGGCTTTCTCTAGTTGCTGCGAGCGGGGGCTACTCTTCGTTACGGTGTGTGGGCTTCTCACTGAGGTGGATTCTATTGTTGCAGAGCACGGGCTGTATGCGCGGGGGCTTCAGTAGTTTTGGCGTGCGGCTTAGCTGCTCCGCGGCATGTGGGATCTTCCCAGACCAGGGATCAAACCCGTGTCCACTGGCAGGTGGATTCTTAACCACTGTGCCACCAGGGAAGTCCCCCATTTTTAAAAAAAATATTTATTTATTTGGTTTCACTGGGTCTTAGTTGCGGCAGCCTGGCTCCTTAGTTGAGGCATTAGAACTCTTAGTTGCGGCATGCATGTGGGATCTAGTTCCCCGACCAGGGATGGAACCCGGGCCCCTTGCACTGGGAGCACAGAGTCTTAACTACTGCGCCACCAGGGAAGTCCCCCGGACATATTTTTTCTTTTGTTTATCTGTTTATCTAGTGTCTTTCCCACCAGAATGTTTATCTAGTGTCTTTCCCACCAGAATCTACCTACTTTCCCACAGTAGGTACTCAATGAACTCATGTTGCATGAATACAGAGGAGGAGGTTGGGTAGCCGCTGAAGGTTATTTCATCCATCCTCCCACCCCCAATACTGGAATCTGGGCCTCCCCCACAGCCCTGGACACAGTGCTTGGTGCATAATAAGAACCCCCATACAGGTGTTTATTAGATTACAGAGATTTCGGATCTCTCTTAACTCTAAGTTAATTTTAGTTTAGGAAAAATCAGCTCGGGTGACCCCTGTTCATCCTCAGAGTCAGTTTGCTGCTTTATGGGCTGCCCTGAGACCCTCCCTCCACAGTGGCTCCCCTGGCCTTTAAACTCTAGGTGGGGAGGGCCATTCCCACTAGCTGGGGGTGGATCCTCCTTGCCAATAACCTTCAAGACCAGAAGGAGCTGCTTCTTAACAACCATCATGGGACACAGAGTGTCTAGCTTCAAACCCAGCCTCCCCTACTCTAGCTGTGTGTCCTTGGGCAAGCTGCCTGACCACTCTGAGCCTCAGTTTCCTCCCTGAGGAGTAAGTGAACTCATTCAAGTAAAAAGTCAGGCACGAGGCAGGTACTACTACTATACCTTTACTAGCTAAGATTTGTGGATAGGGAAAGGAAAGGAGCTGGGGAGGAGGCGGGGGCGGGGCAGTGCTCAGGGAGGACAGGAGCTCAGCCAGGGGGAAAGGGGTTCAGAGAGGAGGAGCTGGTGGCCTTTTCAGGAGACCAGGGCTCCAGGGAGAGATAGGGGTGAGGGTCAGGGAAGTGGAACTCAGCCCTGCAGACTGCAGTTCACGGAGGGTGGCAGGCTCCTCAGGCCCTAGGGGATGCAAACCCCCTCCCATTCTTTTTTCCGGCAGGCTCCAGCCCCTGGCAGAGTCCTGCAGCCCTGCCTTTGCTCAATGAAGGAACGACTGGGAGGCGATCAGACAGGCAGCTTCTGTGTCTCTTTAATATCCTCCAGGCCCATCCAACTACCCCACCCACCCATTCCCACTCCCACCGCCTTTAATGGGAGGGGGGGCCGGGGGCACCCTCCTCCAGCCCAAGAACTAAGGCACCAGGTAGCTGCAGCAGGCCGGCCCAGACACAGAGCCACACACACAGATGGAGGACACACTGACCGCGGACGCAGACAAGCAAGGCGCGAAGAGGGGCAGGGGCGGGGATCAGGCCGCCGCGGGGCTCCCACAGGCTCTGGGCCCGTCCTGAAGGCCGTGGGAGGCGCAGACAATGCCCGAAGGGGACCGGTCGAGAGGCCGAGGGGCGCCACGGCGGGGCAGGATCCTCACTTGCTGCCTTTGCGGGACAGACACCGCGGGAGGCAAGAGAAAGTCTGCTTGACGCGCGCCAGCAGCGGCAGCTGCCGGTGGGCTTCCCGGGGCGACCGCGGCACCAGGCGCTGCAAGGTCCCTTCCGAGGCCGAGGAGCTGGGCGCGGGGGAAGAGGCCGCGCTCGCAGAGCCCTGCCGGCAGCGCGCGCACATCGGCAGCAGCGCGCGCACCTCCTCCTCGTCGCGGAAAGGGCTCTCCCCGAAGCGCTCCTCCAGCTGCCGGCGAAGCTGGGGTGGGGTGGAGTCGGGGTCGGTGCCGGTCCGCCGGCTCGGTCCCCTCCCCAATCCTCAGAGCTTCCGCTCTTCTTCGAGCTTCCCACACCTCGCTAAGCCCCTCCCGTCCTGACCATCCTCTTAGCGTCCCTTCTGCGTCCCCATCCCCCTAACTGAGCCCCTCTCCTTCCGAGTCCCTCCCCTCTCCCTGAATCCCCTTCCCCTTTGACACTCCATCTTCCAGACCTACTAAAGTGAGCCCCCCACCTGCACAGTGGGGGCCACATTAACCCCTCCCCACACTGCCCAACAACTCTACTCCAGCAGGCCCCCTTCCCTGCCTGCCTCTTTCCTAGTGCAGCCTTGCAGACAAGTCTCTGGGCAGCAGCCTGCCTTCCTGCACTGACTGCTTCTCTCTCTCATCTCTTGTTTGCGGGTGGGGGAGGGCGCGGCTCAGTCCTCGACGTCTCCATGTGCCATCTGCCCAGTGGGCATAAGAGAAGGAACTGCTTTGGCCTCATCAAGGACCCAGGGGTGGAATAAGGACTGGACATGTCTCCCCAGAGGAGTCAAATGTTCAAATGCCTTCAGGCTCCAGGTAGGCAGAGCAGGCAATGCTGGAACCTAGCCAGATTGAAGGGTCCATAATCAGGCCCACGGGTATTCAAATCCTAAGTTAAAAAGGAAAAGAAAACACCTGGCCGTCCAACCTAGGGGCTAGGTTAGCTCAAGAGCCACGAGTTCAAGACCCCAGAAAAATCTTCTGCCAGGTCTGAAGCACAGGCTAAATTCTTTCCAATCAGTGCTCAGCTCAAGTAAGAAGAGTTTCCCACCCCTGCTCCTGCCCCTACCTTCAGGGAACTGCCCCAGCCAAACTCTTCAAGCTGCTGCCTAAAGCCTGGGTTGGGGTTGGCGATGGGCCGCGTGGCCTTGATGGCTTCAAGCACGTCCCGCCAGCTCAGTCCTGTCACAGTCATCACATATGCCGTCACGATGGTGGTGCTTCGGGAGATGCCTGCAAAGCTGGGACATCCCACCCCAAGGCTTCAGGTAAGGCCCAAGCTCCTCCGTGTCCTCCAGGCACCCCATCCCCACTTCAGCTCTCCCACCCTTGCCTCCTGAGCTCCAACCACAAGGAACCTGCCAGGACCTGTCTTCCCACATCAGGCCTTTGTCTATGCTGTTCCCTCTGCCTGGCATTCACCCACATCAAAGGCCTGAGTGAAACATCACTTCACTCAATCGTTCAGTACACGTTTCCTGATCTGTGATTTTTCAGGTACTGGGGATATAGTGGCAAATAAAACAGACATGGTCTCTGCCATCCTGGGGCTTACAGTATGGCTGGGAGAGACGGACACTAACAAGGGAAACAATTTCAGGTGGTGGTAACTGCTTCAAAGATGCGTCCAGCGGCTAGGAGATTGTGTAAGAAGAGGTATTAATCTAGTGGAAGGGATGCAGAGGATTAGGGAAGGGGTTCGCAAGGAAGTGACATCAAGCTGAACCCTGAAAGACGGGTAAGGATTGTCAAGAATGTTCTGGGCAGTGTACAAAGACCATGTGGGTGGGATCCTGGTGGACTTGAAGAATGGGGAGATGGCCAGCACAGCTGGAGCAAGGAAAGGAGGAAGAGAAGGGGAGAGGCAGGCTGGAGGAGCCGTCCCTATGGCTGGGGCTCAGGCAGAGCTACCCTGAGCCAGGCGTAGTGAGAAGTTATGGAATGAATGAAATCAACAGGGCCAGGGGCCCTGCCTGGGACTCCCAGCCTGGGGCTCCTCACTGCCCTGTACTACTGCCTCAAAGGCTAGAGGGGAGGAGAAGGAGCTGGAACTACTGAAGGATGCTGGGCTACCTGCCTGACCTCACCTATTCCTCCCAATAGCTCGCCAGGTCAACATTCTTTTTTCCCATTTTACAGATGAGAAAGTTGAGTCTCAGGGAGAAATAGCTATCTGGCCATGGCCATACAGCTGGTAAGAGACAGAGCCTTGATCTGAGTCCTCCATCAGCCTGTCAGACGAATGGTGGACTGTCAGGCATTGTGACAGGCTGGAGAAGATCCATCGCAGGCTCTGCATTCCCCACAGGATGAGGGCATGTTCAGGATGGAGGAAGGCCACTCACTTCCCCTCCCCCCACTCCCCTCTTAACTCACCAGTGCACAAGGCAGTTTCCCCCATTGAGGCGGCAACAGTGGATGAAGTTGATACATTCTTTGAAGTGCTTTTTGCTAGAGAAGAAAGCAATAAGGTACAGAGCACTGGGCGGGGGGGACAGGTCTCCTAGGAGTTGTCCCCCCTCCCCATTTCTGGGATGGCAAGAAACAGAGCCCTGGATCCTCAGGTCAGCCAGCACGTGCAGTGACTAGGGGCTGATACTGTAGTACTGGTGGAGGTGTGTGTGAAGCAATAATGGTGGCGTTTCAGGAGGTGAGAGAGGCCAATGATGGCAAATCCCACCACAGAGGCAGGAGCACCTCTTCAATGGGTCCTGTGGATCCTATTTTCATGGAGGGTTTATCTTGACCTTTCAAGGAAATAGGTGCGAGGAGTCCCACCCCTCTGGGGTCTGCAAACAGAGCACCTGGGGACAATAATGGTCAACAACAGGGTTGGGAGCAAGAGTCCCAAGGGGCAGGAGTGTCTGTCTGGGTCCCTCCCAGGCTGGGGTGTACTACTGCTAATAACATAAACCAAAATCCTGCTTTCTGAGCCCTCATTACACGCCAGGCCCTGTCCTAGATCTTCAACCTGTGCTATCTGATCTTTGACAGCCTCCTTGGTGCTGATGGCCCCAACCCCTCACACACCCATTTTCTCTCTCAGAGAGGGGAAGTGATTTGTCCAAGGTCAAACAGCAAGTAAATGGCAGAGCCTGGCCTGAACCCAGATGCCTTAACTCCAAGGCCAGGAACAGGCTGAGCCTGACCCTTTCAAATCCACTGGGGCGTCTGAGCCTGAGGGACAGGGTGTTTTCTCCATTTCATAGCCAAAGAGACTGAGCTCTGGGAGGTTAGGGCTTGGCCAGCGGCATAGGCAAGGGTGTGGCTGAGACAGAGTCCAGGTGGTCTGGGAGAACACCTGTGCTGGGGTCTCCAGGACAGCTTTGTGGCCTGAGTCCTCTCTGTCCTCCCTCAGACCACCTCCCACCCTCCCTCTTCCCACCACATGAAGCAGCTGTCTGTCCATCTGTCAGCCCATCCAGAGGAACTTACATGGGTACCTCAGGGGCGTCGGCCACTGAGATGCGAAGGTAGGTTATGTCCTGCAAGTACAAAACACACATGGGCAGCCTGCACCCCAACCCCAGCCTGGGCCTCCCAAGCACCTCTCAACCTTAGGCCAGTTCCTGCCCCTCTCTGGGCCACTGTTATTGTCTCTGTCCAAAGAGGGTAGACACCTCCTCTGAGGGCCTCCCAGGTCTGACCATCTGTGGTTCCAGAACCTTCTGAGAAGATGGTATCCTAACCCCATAGCTGACTTGGGCACAAAGACTTGCCAAAAAGGATTCAGGGACCTTTTATTTAATAGCTGGGAAAGGGCCACTTAACTTGACTCCCCTCCATAAAAGGATTACAAAATTACACAGTAAGAAGGGCAAAGCAGATTTTATTCTCTTGAAAAGAAACAAGAAATATGAAGATTAGTTTTAGTTTATGAATTGTGGTTATAAAACTCTGTGCTAATTATTAAAATAATCAAGGAATGAATTTTCAGGAATTTCTCCAACAAACTTGCTACCACATCTTTCACTCCACGCCTAACCTTCACACAAGATCTTAAAGATGAGTCCTGCCCACATTCCAAGAATCACTTTTCTCAGGGAACTCTCTCAGTCCTTTGATATTCAAATGGCTCTTTTCAAGGGACTGGCGCACCTCCAGCCAGTGACTAAGTGACCGCCTGGCTAGGTCCTCATCTGTTAGTGGCTTTGTGTGAGATTCCAGCCCTTCTCTGTAACTCACTCTCCCCAAGGTCACACGAGCCTGCATCTTTTGCAAGGTTCGCAAATTCGCTTTGCAACACATTTGGCCTTGGATTTGCAGGGCATTATCAAACCCTGACTGGTAAATTCACTGATGGATGGGGAGGGAGAAGAGGGCAGGGCTGCCGGAGCAGGGACTCATTTTGCCAGTAGTCATTTCATTAGTAAATATAGTCATGCCTAGACAACCTTCCCCAGGCACTCTAGTGACTTGCATACTCCAAATACTCCAAAACAAGCCTGCTCTATAAAGCAAAATCAGACTCCATTGACCTGGAAATTTCTTCTAGTGTCTCTGTGACACTGAGAACCACAGATTATTGGAGGTAGCTCTTAGAGACCATCAAATCCAACACAAGGGGAAACTAAGGCCCAGAGAGGGCGAGGACCCTGCTCAAGGGCACACAGCAAAGCTGTGACAGAACCCGGTCTGGATCTCAGATCTCCAGAGTCCCTTCCCACCCACAGTTCTCTCCCGTCGATGGGTGAGCCAGACTCTAACAGATAAAGAGGAAAGGGCTCTGTTTATCGATTGAGAATATGATTAAGTTTGTTATTATGTCAGCTATAATTTGTTGAGCGCCTATTTTGTGGCTCTCAACAACCCAGTGAGGTAGGTACTGTTATAAAATTCCCCTTTTACGGATCAGGCAACTGAGGTCTAGAGAAGTGAAGTCCTGTGCCCAAGGTTACAGACAGAATGTGGTGAATATGTGAACTCAGAGCTCCTGACTCCAGCACATGTGGTCTGGATTTCCTACTTCCCTACTCTAGGTCATAACACCCTCACCCCGTCTTTTCCAGGATTCGGTAATACCAGCTCCAACCCTCCCCGTGGGGGCCGTGCTGTACAGTGTGCAAAGCATCTTTACCATATCACAGTCCCCTGGGGGCAGATAGGGCTGAGGGATCAGGGGCCCAGACAGGTGAAATCATAGCCCCAGGTCACAAGCGAGACACAGAGCCCAGAAACATCTATGTGGAGTCATCTATTCAGTTGGACAACGGGAAGCCCCTGTGGGAGACTTTTTAAGGTTTAGTGTGAGGCCTCTGGAGCCAGATGGCCTGTGTTCAAATTCCAGCTCCTTAGCTTCCTGGATGTGTGACCTCAGGCAGGTTACTTTACCTCTCTGGTCCTCAGCTGCCAAAGAGGGAGCAAATAGGGATGCTAATGTAAAACAGGCCAGTTTTTAAGCAAATGAGTTAGCATATGGGTCAGGAAGGCCTGTGTGCCAGTAGAGGATCTGGCACGTTGTAGGTACTTGATAAATGGGTGCTGTGGGGGTCTGAAACCCCCCTTCCCACCCATGTGCAGCTCTGGGATGCGGGTAAGGCTTACCTGCAGCAGAGGCTGGGGTGACTCGTGGATGGAGATGATGTGTGTGATCTTATTCCGGCCTAGCTGATCCGTGTCTTTGGCGTCTGAAAGAAACAAGGATGCTTGAGCCAATCTGGCAGGTGTGACCTATATATTCCGATGGCCAAGTGAGGCGGGAGCTCACTGCCCCACTCTCCTGCTCAGCCCGCCCTCTCCACCTTGGCCCACCCTCTGCCGGCTCCCTGCTCCTTCACCACCTCTTGCTCCCAGCATGACAGGTCCTGTCACACCCCTAAGCTTCAGTCTCTCCACTGGGGCACCCACAGGTAACAGCCCAGCACCTCCCCAGCCTTGCCCCTGCTGTTCTTTCCATTGCAAACACCCTTCTGTGGCATATCCTTCACCAGGCCATTCTTCTAGGAATCTTGACTACAGAAGGGTTAACTCACACAGAAAGCTGTGTGTAGAAGATGGTTCTCTGCACTGCTGCTTATGACTGTCAACACATCAGAAACAGTTAAAAACGGGAACTGGGCTTCCCTGGTGGTGCAGTGGTTAAGGATCCGCCTGCCAATGCAGGGGACACGGGTTCGAGCCCTAGTCCGGGAAGATTCCGCATGCCATGGAGCAATTAAGCCCATGTGCCACAACTACTGAGGCTGCGCTCTAGAGCCTGCGAGCCACAACTACTGAGCTCGCATGCTACAACTACTGAAGCCCGTGCGCCTAGAGCCCGTGCTCCACAACAAGAGGAGCCACGGCCATGAGAAGCCTGCGCACCACAATGAAGAGTGGCTCCCGCTCGCCGCAACTAGAGAAAAGCCTGCGTGTAGCAACGAAGACCCAATGCAGCCAAAAAAAAAAAAAAAAAAAAGGAACAAACCACAAGGGGACTGGATAAATAATGGTATATTCATACTTGAATACTGTGCAGCCACTAACAAGATCTCTGTGTGCTGATGTGCAAGGAAGCCCACAATATATTATTAAATGGGAAACACAGGTTACAGAACAGCAAGCAGAATAGGCCTCCATTTTTGTTTTAAATATTATATCTATATGTACAAAGATACATGAAAACAACCCAGGGATATACCTCCCACAGCTATCAGTAGCCATCTCTAGGGGCTGGATTTCCAGTGCATGCAGACCTTTTATAATCGAAGTAAATAACACTCGATCTCCACATGCCCACTTTCTCATTCACCACATTTACTGAGTGTTTACCATGTGCAGCCTTGGCTGGGCATGGCATTGTGGGGTCAATTTCATGGCTCCTGCCCTCATGGGCCTACACACTTAAAGGGGATTCAGACCTTACTTACCATAAATATTCAGAAGTCGGTGTGGTGTGAGCTGCTGAGGGAGCTCCCGGGAGGAAGGCACCAGGGTTTAGGAAAGTGGGGCCCTTAAGCCCAGAGTGAGACAGGAGTGGATGGGGAAAGCTCTGCCCCAGTGCAGATGCCCCTCCCTCCCTAAAGCTTTCTCTGACTCCACAGATGGAAGTGACTTTTCCTGCCTTGGGTCTCCCAAGCTCCGGACCAGCCTTTCTCTTAGCCCAGGCCTGGGACAGGCGGAGTGCTGTGGCCTTGGGATGGAGCGGGCAGTGCTCACCGGTGACGTTTCTGATGTAGCGTCCAGTCTCTAGAGACCTCTCCTCTGAGGAGGAGGTTGTGCCAGGAAGCCTTCCCAGCTTCCCAGCTAGAAGCAACACCTCCAAACAGACCTCAACCCAGAACCTCAGGGCTGGCAAAATCCTTAGAGGCGGGGGTGGGCCTTGTGCTGTGGGAGAGGCTGAGGCTCAGAGCAGGTGCAGCCTTGCCCAGTGTCCAGTGTTCTGAGCCCTCTGTACTGGGGACGCTCCTCCACCCACGTCCCCCTTAGTCTTCATGAGTTCTTTCCTCCTCCCAGCCTGGCATCGCTTCCCTGCCCCCGGCCCCATTCCTGAGCGTGTCCAGGGTGCGTGGGCCGGAGCATGAATGGTGGACACAGGCCTGGGACACAGTGCCATGGCCTTGGGACAGAGTGGGCGGTGCTCACCAATGAAGTTTCCGAGGTAGAGTCCAGGAAGTACCTACAGGAGAGACAGGCCGGGGTCAGCCGGGTAGGGGTGCATGCAGCCCCTCTCAGTCCCATGAAGGGCGTCTGGCCCTCAGGACTCAGGGAGCGATCACCCCCGTCTTGTGGGCCTGGATGCTCTATGAGTGATGTCTGGGGAGGGCAGCAGGGGGGCATCAAGGGAGGCCAGCCTGGGTAGGGGGAGAGGAAAGAGGAAAGAGGGGCACAAAGACCTAGGGAAAGAGGGTGGGAGGAGCACAGGGGGGTGGCAAAGGGAGAGGTGGACTTGCTAAGGTGGGTGGTGGGGAATTCTGAGGAGGTGGGAAGGCAGGGACAGATGGGGGTCGTGCCTTGGGGTGGGGGATGGGGAAGGATAGAGAAACAGCATTAGAGAGAGTCCAGGGAGACAGAGACACATGGAGACAGAGAAAGGGACTCAGGAAGAGATCGTCTGGGGGTGACAAGAGTGCCACAGAAAGACACAGCAAGAAATACAGAGTCACAGAAACTGTCAGAGACAGAGACACAGAGAGGCAGAGGCAGAGAGAGATACCGCCCCAGAGAGACAGACAGAGACGTACGATCTCAGGGTCCCAGGGAGACAGAGAAATAGACAGACAGACCGCCAGAGCCAGAAGGTCAGAGGCGGGCGCCCGGCCGGCGCTGGGGCCGGCCAGGTGCGGGCTGCGCCATCCCGGCCCCCTACCTTGGTCATGCCATTCCCCATGATCCCGGGGGCGGGGATCCGGGCGCACCCCCAGCTCGCCACCCGCTGAGCGCAAGGGTCACAGCTGCCCTGACGGCCCGGGCCCGGCGCCTGCAGCCTGGCGGGGATCGGGGGGCCTGGTGTCCGCAGCCTGGCGGGGATCGGGGGGCCTGGCGTCCGCAGCTCGGCCCAGCCCTGCCCAGCTGCCGCCGCCGCCGCTGCCGCCGCCACCGCCCGCCGACCCCCGGCCAGGGAGGGAAATGCTGGAGCCGCCGCCGCCGCCGCCGCCGCCGCCGCCACCGCCGCTGCAGGCTCCTCCTACCCCCTTGGTCATGTGGGCCGCCCCCCCACCCGTGGGTCGCGGCGGGGGGCTGGACAAAGCCCCAGTGTGCCGGGCCCGGGGCCCGCGGGACAACGGCAGCTTGTTGGGGCCGCGAGGGGCCTCCACCTCCGGAGGTGGGGGGGGGCGCTCCCCCCACCCTGGCACCGTCAGGCGCGGGCGGGGCGGGGGCGGAGAGAGCCCCCAGCCGCGGGCTCAGAGACTCGGAACCCAGCTCCAGCTCTGCCCGGCCCTCCCTGCGGGCCCTGGGGCGAAACGCCTAGCTCCTTCGGCCTCGGTTTTCTAGCGGAAACGTGATGGGGGCTGGACTTTGATCTTCAGATTCTGTTTGAGACGAGAAAAGTGGGTAATTCCTTCCCTTTGTACATCTCCCTGCTCCGCCCCCCATGCAGGCATCTCACCAGCCAACCATCCTCCTCCCCCACTCTTGGAGCCAGTCTGTCCTCCCATCCTCCACTCCATCCATTCACTGTTCCGTCTGTCTGGTCACTCATCCAGCCATCCTCCCATCTCTTCCTCCCACATATACTTTGGCCTCTGAGGGTAGTGCCATCTGGGTCAGCTCTGCTGGGACCAGGCATAACTCTGCTTAGGGGCCCCAGTAAATCAGAGGTGCATGTGAGGAGAGGGAGATGAGTGAGGGTTACAGTCGCCTGGGTTCCTTGGAGTAAAGGAGACTACGACAAGATGTAGTTAGAGGCAAGAGTCTCAGAAGGTGAGTCTGGAGACCAGGGTTCCAGGCCCTATTCATTCACCTCTGACCTGCTCAGTGACCTTGGGCAAATCCATTTGGGCTCCCAGCTACCCAAACGGTATGTCTAGTGTGCTGCTACTAGGACCAAAGATGGAGAATGTGAAATAACTGAGAGCACACACCTCCTGTGGGACTGAAATAGAAGCAGCTGAACCAGCTTTACTCCTCTAGCCGTCACCTGCCCCCCTCCATCTGTAGTGGTAAGTGACTGTGGGAGGAATGTGGGTACAGAGAAGGACAGGGTCGGAGGAACCTGTTTGAAATGCAGTGACTGCAGGAAAATAAAACTGTTTCTTTGGTATTTCTTTCTTCCTCAAATTCACAGTGTACATGGGGCTGCCTGTCTCAGCTCTGTGTCCAAGGTTCTCATATAAACCAAATTATTCAACAAATACTTACTGAGTACCCACTATATAGTAGGCATTAGGGGTGTCCCTAACAGATAAGGTGGCAGTGGTTCCTACCTTTGTTGGCTAACGGTCTAGACCAGCATTGCCCAGTAGGAATACAATGTGAGCCACGTGGGTAATCATAAATTCTCTAGTAGCCACATTAAAAAAGTAGAAAGAAGCAGGTTGTTATTAATGGTTTTATTTGACCCAGTATAGCCAAACTATTATCATTTCAATGTGTAGTCAATATTTAAACATTATTAATGACATATTTTACATTCTTTTAATTGTATTAAGTCTTTAAAATCCAGTGTGTATTTTATACTTAGAGCACATCTCAATTCAGTTTAGCCACATGTCAAATGCTTAATCGCCATATGTGGCTGGTAGCTCCATACTGGACATCAGGGCTAGGAGGGGAGGCAAACAAAATAGACAAATAGACAAAGCATTTACAAACAGTCACAATTTTCTATGGAGGAAACAAACTGGAGGACAGGAAGAACCTCTGTAAATAGGAGACATTTGGATAAGACCTGTCATGTAAGAAGGGCACAGCTGTTTAAAGAGTGGAGAGATTTCCAGCAGAAGGAACAGCACAAGCAAAGGCCCTGCGGTGGGAAAGCTTGGTCTTTGGGAAGAGCCAGTAGGACTGGAGGGGAGGAGGCCAAGGGGAGGTGGTAAGATTGAGGCTAAAGAGGAGAAGAGGCCAAGCATGAAGGACCATGTATGGCCATGATTGGGGGTTTAGAGTTTCCTTCTCAGTATGATGGAAAGCCAGTAGGAAAATTTAAACAGAGTGGCCATGTCATCTGATTTACATGGATCACATTGGCCCCTAACTGGAGTATAGATTAGAGAGGCAAAGAAGGGAGGCTTTGAGGAGAGATGGTGAGAGATGGCAAGAGATGAGGTGCCCTGGGACGAAGAGGGAGTGGAGAGGCTGGAAAGAAGGGGAGAGATGCAGCATATATTAGGATTTTGGCAGCATAACCGACTTGTAGATAGATTATATTTGGGGAGAAGGAAGGAATCCTAGGATGACTCCCAGTTTTCCTGCCTTGAAAATCGCTATCTGTGCCTCAGAAGTAAAAGCAGGGTTATTAATCCATTCAACAAATAATTATTGGGCCCCAGGTTATACATGAAATATTGCACCAAAGATGTACTGTCTGACTTGAGTTTTCCAGAAGGCCCCACCCTATGGATGGCATAAAGAAATGCCGAGAAGGCGGCCTGAAGACCAGTTCCTCATCATGACCCTGGCCTTTGCAGCTCCGTGAACCTGGGCAGGTGACCGAATGCCCCGGGTCTGTTTCCTCATCCATCTGGGGGCAATTACCACATAGCCCTATGTACCTCTACTTGATTTTTGGGGGAATAATCAAAGCACAGGTAGGAAAGAACTCTATCAGGTTAAAAACCCTGGAAAAAAATGTAGTTATTAGATTTAACACATTTAATATCTATATACTGTTCAGTCTTTGAAAGTGTTAGTTGTTACAAAGCCCAATTTGCTTTAAATGAGTCACGGGAAGTGACAGTTTTTTAAAACCAGTAATATGAAGATGCTAAAATGCAGTTCTCACCTTGTGTTTCCTTGCTTAAAACCATTCAGTGGTTCACCATGGTAGGCAAGTTAATGGTCTCCCCGAAGATGTCCATTCTCTAATTCTTGGAAATTGGGATCGTGTTATGTTACATGGCAAGAGGAAATTAAGGCCACGGATGGAATTGAAGTTGCTAATCAGCTGACCGTGAGTTGGGGAGATTATCCTGGATTGTTTGGGAAGGTCCAGGGTAATCACAAGAATCCTTATAAGTGAAAGAGGAAGGCAGGAGTGTAAGAGTCAGAGGGGATGTGATGACAGCAGCAGAGGTCACAGTGCTGTGATTTCTGGCTTCGAGGATGGAAGGAGGCCATGAGGAAGGCAAAACAAAGAAACAGACTCTCTCATAGAGCTTCCAGAAGGAACTCGGCCCTGCCAACACTTTCATTTTAGCTTAGTGAGACCCAATTCAGACTCCTGACATCAGGAACTATATGCTAATACATTTGTACTGTTTTAAGTCATTCAGTTTACGGTAATTACAGCAGCAATAGGAACCTAATACACTCACCAGTGCCCTTGGGGAAAAGTCCAACCTGCTAAGTACGGCACACAGAGCCTTGTGGGATTGGGCTTCTGCCACTGTGACTCTGAGCAAATTTCTTAACTTCTGTGGGCCTCAGTTTTACCATCTGTAAAATGGGGAGGAAAAAAACCCCTCTAGGTCTGTACTGAGATTAAATGCAAGGACATATTTAAAGTACCTACTAGAGAGACTGCACACAGCACATCGTCATCATCATCATTATTGTTGTTGTCATTATTATTATCACGGAGCAATTGACAGGGGGTTAGGAGGCCTGGGTTCTACTCCCCTCACTAGGACTCTGTTTCTGCATCTGTAAAAAAGGAAACAAACAAAAACATACAGGTTTGGCCGTCTCATCTTTCCTCTCTTCGCTCTTTCCTGGTCACTGATCTGCATTCACTTCCTCAAACATGCTTCACTCTGTCTTCCAATTTTGTACATGCTGTTCCCTCTGCCTGGCATGCCCTTCCCATCCCCTTTACCAGATGAACTCCCATTTCCTCCTGGAAGTCTCTGCTGACCCCAATTAGAATTGGTTAGACCTCACTCTTATGCATTCCCAAAACATCCTGAACTTCCTCTATCATAGTACTGATTTTCTTTTATTACTATGGCTTGTTTTTCATTTAGAAAAAAAAGAAAAACATATCCAGATAAGAATATTTTGACCTATTTGCTTCAACTGGGTTCTTTAAAAAAAACCATTTCAAATAAACTTGACATAGTTGAAGTTTCCTCTCCTCTCTCCTCCTCCTTAATTCTCTCCCCACAGGCAACGCTATCATGAATTGGTGTGCATCTTTCCAGTCTGTGTTTTTAAACTTGTAATACCTATATGCCCATAAATATATAGAATATGCTTTTGTATGTGTGTTTATAATTAACACAAATGTAACCTTTAAAAATATTTATCATTCTACAACTTTCTTTTATTGATCCAACAATAGGTTTGGGGGATATCTCCATGTTGATATAGAGCTGGATCATTCATTTTAATCACTGTATAGTATTTTTTTATTAGGGTATATCCCCTTTTATTCATCCATCACCCTACCAATGGACATTTAAATCATTTCTAATATTTTCCACTAATATAAAGAATGCTTTATATTATATGCAAAGAACATCCTTATACATACAACCTATGCACAAGTGTTCAAACTTCTTTAGGGAAGGTTGTCATCTTGCACATTAGCTGTAAAACAAAAGGTAGTCCATGGGTTGTGCAGCTGTATTCAGAGAGCCTATGGGCTGTATATCCAGTAGTTGAATCGACGAGTTGTAAGGTGTGTGCCTTTTCAACTTTATGAGATATTGCCAAATTGCCTTCCAAAGTGTGAATGTAATCATATAAAGATTCCTGTTCCCCAACATGCTCACAGACACTTGGCATGCATATGTGTTTTAATTTTGTCTAGTTGATGTATTTAAAATCATCTCTTATAATTATTTTGATTTATGTATCTCAGTTGCCTATTGGCAATTCAAGTTTTTTTCTGCCGAAAATTCCCTATTTATATATTTTGTTCACTTTTCTTTTGCAGATTGTGGGGGAGAGTCTTTCTTAATGGTTTTCAGGAGTTCTTTGAATGCTTGCCCTTTGTTATATAGGTTGCAGATTTTTACTCCTAGTCTATTGCTTGTCTTTTAATCCAATTTGCAATGTCTTCCGTTACATGGCAGTTTAAATTTTGAGAGAGTCACAGATCAACTTTTCCCTTATGAGTTATGCTTTATTAAGAAATCCTTCTTCACCATGAAGTCATAAAATTATATATATATGTATGTATGTATATACAGTTGACCCTTGAACAACATGATTTTGAACTAAGCAGGTCCACGTATATGCAGATTTTTTTCAATAAATATGTACTACAGTACTATACAATCGGAGGTTGGTTGAATCCAAGGATGCGGAACCGTCTATAGGGAAGGCCAGCTGTAAAGCTATAGGTGGTTTTCCAACTTCTTGGGGTTGGCACCCCTAACTTCTGCATTGTTCAAGGGTCAGCTGTAGTCCGAAATGTTTGTTTGCCATATTTATTCTTTAATCCATTTGAATTAGGTATCTTATTTTTTATTCCTATGGAATGCCAGTTTCTCAGTGCCATTTACTGAGTTCTCCATCCTTTCCCTTCTGATTTATGATGCCTCCTCTATGGTACATCAAGTTCACACACACACACACACACACACACACACCTGTGTCTGTTTCTAGGATCTCCATTGTATTCCATTAATATTTGCCTCTCCCTGCACCATAATGTGACTTAATAGGCAGAGAAATATCTCCTTTCCCCAACAAATACACTTTGTTGTTTTGGTTGTTTTTGCTCTCAAAAATCCTGATTGGATTTGGGAAAATACATGCCTTTATGATACTGAGTCTTCCCATCCACGTACATGGTATATCCCTCCACTTATTCAGGCCTTCTTTAATGTCCTTCAATAATGTTTTGTAATTTTCTCTATGAGAATATTAACTCCACAATCCTTATTAGTTTTGTTCACTGCTGTATCCTCAGAGTCAAGAATGGGGCAAGACATAGAGTAGATGCTTAATAATAATTTGTTGTTTAATGAATGTCTTGCATATGTTTTGTTAAATACATTCCTACATAACTTACGTTTTGTTGGTATAAAACAACAACAACAACAAAAATTTTTTAATAGTTTCTAGTCAGCTATATAGATATAGGTATAGAGATTCCAGGGCAGTGGAAGGACAGGGAGCCAATACAGGGTGCAATGACGAATAAATTGCCACTTCAGGTTATACGCAGGGGAGAGACAAGATCAGATTTGTGTTTTAAAGGGCTCTTTGCCTGCAGTGCAGAGAATGAATTGGAATGGATAGGGCAAAGTGGGCACAACTAGACAGGAGGCTACTGCAGGCATTGAGGCGAGTCCTAGAATAGTTGGTGCCTAAGAATTAGAGTGACTGGGAGAGATCAGAAGTGACCGATTGGCCAGGTGACCAACTGACCAGGTAACTCAGTGAGGGACCGAGTAAGGAAACTTAGAACCATCGCATTGACCAAAAACTGACAACTTTTCAGACGCAGCGCTATTTAGTTCAACCGAAGTGCAGCCGGAGGAGACGCTAGGCAGTGAGTGCCCGCGGCTGGCAGCCGGTCTCTGGCCCGGTGTGCCCTAGGGTCGCGGAGGCGTGGGGCTGGGAGAGAGAGTAGAGGGGAGTAGAGGGGTCCGGGCCGCAACGACACGCAAGGGCTTCAATCAGCTCGAGACTGCGAGCTGCGCCAAACGGCGTGTCCTTGCCTCAGCCAATCAGAGCTGCAGATCCTTCCCTCCGTCGCCTTGGCAACGGGACGCAAACGCTTGAGCGGGACGCGGTGACGGTTTGGGTCGGGCCCTGGGGAATCGTATCATGTCGCGACAGAAGGTAGGGGTGCCCCTTGATCCAGATGTTCCATCATCCCAGAGAGGGAGGGAAATCGCGGAGGGATTCAGAAGTTGTGGGGTCCTCGTGGAGGGATTCCGGTTAGAATGGGAAGAAAATGACGAGTTCAGAGAAAAAACTACAAGTCCCGGCATGCCGCGCAACGCCGGAGTTCCTGCGAGAGTCCAAGGAACCCAGTTTGCTGGCGGGAAATTTATGAAACTCTAGGATTCTAAACTGTACTCAGCGATTTCTGTGACCCCCGGGAAAGCTCAGAATTTCGGATTTCCTGACCTGGAAAAGCTCTTAGAGATCTTTTCACCCCGCGCCCTCTTGTGACTCGCTCATCCATCCCTCCATCCATCCACCCCCGAAACGCTAATGTGTTTTTTTCCCAGGCGACCCCAGTGCTGGCCAATGGGGGCACAGAGGTGAATCTGACAAGCCCCTGCCCTCTAGGAGTGCACAGGCCAACTCCTCCATTTCAGAAGTGGGAAAGATTAGACCCAGAGAGAGGAATAGACCCAGAGAGAGGAATGAATTACTCTAGAATCCAGCTCTCCCACCCCAACCTGCTTCTTATCCCGTGTTGCACCTCTGATGAATGGTACCTAAAGAAATAAATTTCTTTATTTCCCTCCCAGAGCATTAAAATGAGTGATTACATTGGGCCTGCCTGTGTACTTCAGGATAATCTCTTTGTTTTAAAGTCAGTTGATTCCAAACCTTAATTCCATCTACAACCTTAATTTCCCTTTGCCATGTAATGTAACACATTCACAGGTTCTAGGGATTAGAACATGGACACATTTTTTTAAATTGTTTTTTAAATTAAATTAATTTATTTATTTATTCTTGGCTGCGCTGGATCTTCGTTGCTGCGCGCGAGCTTTTGCAAGCGGGGTCTACTCTTCGTTGCGGTGCGCGGGTTTCTCATTGCCGTGGCTTTTCTTGTTGCAGAGCATGGGCTCTAGGCGTGTCGGCTTCAGTAGTAGTGGCGCACGGGCTTAGTTGCTCTGCTTTGCGGCACGTGGGATCTTCCCAGACCAGGGCTTGAACCTGTGTCCCCTGCATTGGCAGGCGAATTCTTAACCACTGCACCACCAGGGAAGCCTGAGGACATGGACACATTTTGAGGGAGCATTATTTTGTTTACCACAATATACTATTATCAAATAATTGGAAAATTAAAAATTTACAATAGCATCACAAAATCAAATACCTATGAATAAATCTAATTAAAAACGTTCAAGACTTCTATACTGAAAACTAGAAGACATTGTGGAAAGAAATTGAAGACTTAAATTAATAGAGATAGACCATATTCATGGAATGATGAACTCAATAGTTTATGGTGTCACTTCTTCCCAAAATGATCTGTACATTCAATACATTCCCAATAAAAAACCCAACATACTTTTTTTGATAGAATAGCAAACTGAACCTAACATTTTTTAAAATTAATTAATTAATTTTGGGCTGCGTTGGGTCTTCATTGCTGCACGGGGGCTTTCTCTAGTTTGTAGCGAGCGGGGGCTATTCTTCATTGTGGTGCGAGGGCTTCTCATTGCGGTGGCTTCTCTTGTTGCAGAGCATGGGCTCTAGGCGCACGGGCTTCAGTAGCTGTTACACTTGGGCCCAGCCGCTCCGCGGCATGTGGGATCTTCCTGGACCAGGGTTTGAACCCATGCCCCCTGCATTGGCAGGCAGATTCTTAACCACTGCACCACCAGGGAAGCCTGATCCTAACATTTATACTGAAGTCCAAAGGACCTCAAATTGCGAAGACAATCTTGAAAAAAAATAAGTTTGACTTATGCTCCCTGATTTCAAAGATTTACTAGAAAGCTATGGTAATTAAGACAGTGTGGTAGTGACATAAGGGTAGAAAAATAAGTCAACAGAACAAAATAAAGTCTAGAGATAGACCTACATATACATAGTCAATTGAATTTTGACAGAAGAGGCAAGGCAATTCAGTGAGGAAAGGGAAGGTTTTTCAAGCAAAGACTCTGGAGCAACTGAATAAACATATGAGAATAGAAAAGATACTATGAAAAAAGATTAGGACACTTGACTAGTTCTGGAGGAATTAGAGGGGCTCTATCCCCTTCCACTGGCTTTTTGAGGGGTAGGATTGTGTGGTAGGCAGAATTCTAAGGTGGCCCCCAAGATTCCCATCCTCAGTGTACACACCTTGTATAATGCCCTCTCTTGAGTGTCAATGGAGGCTCTGAATTTGATGGGATAGTTATTACCATGATTACAATACATTATATAAGACTCTGCCATAGCTGACTTGGAGTGAGGGGAGTGTTGGAAATCAGAAGGACATGCTCCTGTTGGCCTGGAAGAAAAGCAACATCTATGTTGTGAACTGCCTATGGGGGCCACTTCTAAAGGAACTGCAAGTGGCCTCTAGGAGCTGAGAGCAGTCCCAGCCAATGACTAGCAAGTAAACAGGGACCTCAGTCCTACAACCCCAAGTAACAATTCTGCCAACAATCTGGATGATCTTGGAAGAGAACCCCAAGCCCCAGAGGAGAAACACAACTCCAGCCATCACCTTGATTGTAGCCTTGCAAGACCTGAGCAGAGGATCAAGCTAAGATGTGCCCAGATTCCTGGTCCAAGGAAACTGTGAGATATAGATTTGCACTGTTTTAAGCCACTAAATTTGTGGTAATTTGTTATGCAGTGCAGCAGTAGAAAACTAATACAGATGGCACGTCTGTCCAAGGTGCAAAGGTCATCCTGCATCGGACCAATTTCTAGTTCTTTTTTCATATCTGCCTTAGGGATTAGTCTTATCAGGACTGAAGTCGAAACTGTTTTGGACATAATTGGAGGAGAATAATACCTACCACCCTTTGAGGATTTGGAAGGTCCATTTTGGGTAGAAGGAATTAACATTGCTCTGAGTCTTTGACCCAGCTCCTCCTGGATCATGGGTCTAATCAAACATTCAAGGTTAGAGTAGGTCCACATCCTTCTCACAGAGCCTGCTGAGTTCAGCCCTCAAACTGGGGTTCATGGTTGGACTTTTAGAGCATTGAAAACCGGACGTTCACTATACTGGTCATGCCTGTGGAGTAAGCCTACAGTGAGGTGGACCCTTGGATTCTTGGAGGTTCATTTCAAGGACCAAGCTACTAGGCACATGTTGACTAATAAGAAACTGGCCGGGCTGGACCTTCATGTCATAGCATCTGGGCAGTGTTGAGTCTGATAGTTTGAGCATTTTAATATCTACAGTAAGTTGATTTGGGAAGCAGGTAGATATGCATAAAATTACATCACTTTCCTTTTCTCATTGCAGAATCAAAATTACAAGGGGCATGGACTGCCAAAGGGAAGAGAGCGGTGAGTGGTCCCACCCAATCCAATAAACCCAGAACTAACTTCCTGCTTGCTTGCTGCCTTCCTTCCTTCCCTTTGTCCATCCCTCCCTCCCCACTTCTTTACTTAAATAATGATGATGATAATAAACAATCAGTGAGCACTTACCATGTGCCAGGCCCTGGGCTTGTTGCTTTACTTGTATATCTCATCGAATCCTTACCACAATTCTTTGAAATAGATACTACTCTTATGTCCACTTTACCGATGGGGAAACTGAAGCTCAGGGAGGCTGTTACTTGCTCAAGACCATAGCATCTGTTAGTGGCAGAGCTTGTTGGACTCCATGGCCCATGTTGTGTCTAACTGTGTTTCCTTGCCTCCTTCAACAACCACGTGAAGTTGACTTGATAATGCAAATGTCAGCTGCACTCTGAACTTCTGCATCGCTCTGCACCAATAACCTGGTTATAGAACTCAGCACCTCTTTGGATTTCTTAAAAATAATCCACTTGCACAAAGCAGGAGTGAGCAATGCAGACTTTACTGAAGATTTTTGTGGGAATTAGGGGAGGTAGTTTACATTGCACACACCATGGCAAATATTTTAGAATTTTCTATTCCCTGTTTCATTATATATTTCTGTTCCTTCTAATGCCCTTCCTGGCTACACCACCTCTGGGGCAGGCATGCATGGCCTCTGACCTTTCTCTCATGCAGCACCCATCTTCTTTGCCTTATTTGTCTCTGTACTGACTCCTTTCCACCAATTTCAAACCTTTCACTCTTGCATGCACAGCGTTCCACTGTGTTCCAGCTCCTGGCCCTAAACTTACACACCCACTCCCACCTCAACAAAACAAAGAGCACTTCAGTGAACGGGACCCATCCATCTGCTTTATCAAGGCAGATATTAATTAGAGATGCATTTAGCTGCAAGTAACAGGAAACCCAACTAATAGTACCTTTAAAAAATTGTACTTCTTTTCCTCATGTAACAAAGCTTCTGTGGGGCTGGTGCAGCGGTTCAACAATGTGAGAGCTAGTGTCTCTGTGATTGCCTTCACATTCTCCTGATGGACACCAAGTGGCTGCTACATCTCCAGCCTTCATGTCATGATCAAGATGGGAAGCAGGGGGGGAGGGCAGACTCAAGCCATCTCTCTCTCAAATCAAAAGAATAAACACTTCCCAGGAACCTACCCTGCTTAGCGGTTTCATGCTTTTATCTTATTGACCCAAATTGTGTCACATGGACACCCCTAGCTGCCCGAGTGGCTAGGAATAAAAGTTACATAAGTGGCATTATACTGTTATGTTCTGCACCCTGCTTTTATCTCACAAAATTATACTTTCAGTATTTATCCATGTTGGTGCATGTAGCTCTGGATACATTTTAACTACTGTATGAGTTCCATTATATACCACAAGTTATTTATCTATCTGCCTCGTGAAAGGCACTTAGGTTGTGTCTTATATTGGTTTCCTCCAGAAGCAGACCCTGAGATAAGGATGTGAGAGCAGATCGTTTATCTGGAAGGTGATTCCAGTAAGCATTGGCAGGGAAGTGGGGAAGTGAGACAGCTAAGGGAGAGAAACCAATAAAAAGTGCATTATTGACAGGTTATTGCTGTGGGCAAGTGGGGCTCCATCCCACCGGGGATTCCTATGAGATAGTGTAGAACATACCGTAGACTTACCCCAACTGAGTGATGAAAGAGCTGGAGGATTTATCCATAAACTTCAGTCATCATTGGTTTTATGCTGTTGGGGGGAGGGCAGTTAACTCCCTGGTACTTCAGATCTACTCCAAGCACTGGCTGAGCACACCAAGGGCTAGAAGAAGACTTCAGGTAAAGAACTGCAGGTGCTGGCAGAGGAAAGCCCTGTGATTTGCATGCACAGGAATGGCAAATGCCCAAGGGATAAGGATGGACTACCAACAGTGTGTGCTGCGGATTACTTCCATAAAAATATTAACAGTTACAGATGAACATCCTTGTATGTATATTGCCGAGTACATATGTAGGGTATCTACCTAGGGTGTAGATCTAGGATAGAATTGCTGGGTGTAGAGTATATGCACATTCAACTTACTAAATACTGCCATGTGGTTCTTCAAAGTGCCTTCTACTGGCAGAGGAGGAGTTTGCATTTTAGCACATTGTTGCTAAAACTTGGACTTTTAGATTTTTGCCAGTCTAATGTGTATGAAACAGTAATCGACGGTTTTAATATGCCAAATTTCTCTCCAAAAGTTTATCCAATTTACACTCCCATCAGCACCACTATCATTTCTCCACATTCTCGCAAACACTTGGTATTTGCCTGATTTTAAATATTTTCTCCAATCTGATGGATTTGAACTTGTATTTCTTTATTGTTTTGGATTAGCTTTAAATATTTCACTACTTTAGAACAGTAGTTTTCAAAATTTGACCTCAGGATCCCTTTACAACTTAAAAATCATTGTGGACTGTAATAACTTTTGTTTATGCGGCTTATCAATATTTACCACATTAGAAATTTTAAATGATAAATTTTAAAAATACTTATTTATTAATTCATTTAAAAAGCAATCACGTACTCATTACATGGAAGCATAAATAACATATTTTTATGAACTATAACTATTTTCTCCCTCCCCCAAATTTACTGAGATGAGTGGTGGTTGTTTTACATTTTTTGTGAGGCTCTTCAATATCTGGCTTAATAGAAAACATTCAGCTTCTCAAATTTTCTGTATTCAATCTGTTGTGATACGTTGTTTTGCCTGCAGAGTAGGAAGAAAATCTAGCCTCACAAAGATATGTTGTTGAAAGGGGAGGACTTTGTGTACCCCTGAGAGTTGGGGACCTTGAGGAGTACTTGGACCACACATCAAGAACCACTGCTTTGGGACTTCCCTGGTGGTGCAGTAGTTAAAAATCTGCCTGCCAATGCAGGGGACACGGTTTCCATCTCTGGTCCAGGAAGATCCCATATGCTTCGGAGCAACTAAGCCCGAGTGCCACAACTACTGAGCCTGCGCTCTAGACCCTGTGAGCCACAACTACTGAGCCCACGTGCCACAACTACTGAAGCCCATGCCTAGAGGCAGTGCTCCACAACAAGAGAAGCCCGCGCATGCCATTGAAGAGTAGCCCCGGCTCACCACAACTAGAGAAAGCAACGAAGACCCAACGCAGCCAAAAAATAAATTTATTTTTTTTAAAAAAAGAACCACTGCTCTAGTGGAATTACAATATGTGTCCTTAACTTATCACTGTCTACCTTGACTCAGTATTATACCACTTCGTGTACAACATAAGAGCCCTAGAACAGCATGCTCTGTTTACTCCCCTCCCATCTTTCATGCTGCTATTTTTGTCATATATTTTACTTGTAAATATATTATAAACCCTACAATACATTCTTTTTTATTTTTTACAATGTAGTTTTTTGTTGTTGTTGTTTTGTTTTTTTTACTTTTTGGCCACACCACCTGGCACATGGGATCTTAGCTCCCTGACCAGTGATCGAACCCTCACCCCCTGCAGTGGAAGCATGGAGTCTTAACCACTGGACTGCCAGGGAAGTCCCAGCCCTACAATGCATTCTCATTATATTCACTTTACATAGTTAACTGTTTGCTTTTTTAAATTAAGATATGGAAGAAAGTATTTCAAATTTACTCCACTCTTTATCCCTTCTTATATGCCTGAATCTCCATCTGGTATAAGTTTCCTTCTACCTGAAGAACTTTCCTTTAAAATTCTTAAAAGATGATGTCCCTTTGTCTTTAGGCTTGCATTGTCTCTGATGAGAAGTCAGCTGTCCTTTACACTGTCTCCCCACCACCGCCCCAGCAGTCACACATACACATACACACACACACCTGTATGTGTCTTTTTCCCTTGTCTGTTTTTAAGACTTCTCTGGTTTTCAGCAATTTGACTATAGTTTGTTTGCCTTTGTGTATGTGTGTGTGTGTGTTTTGTATTTATTCTGCTTGGAGTTAATCGAGCTTCTTGGATCTGTGACTTGATAATTTAGTCAAATTTGGAAATTTTTCAGCCATCATTTTTTTGAAAAATATTTTCTGTCCTATTTGCTCCCATCTCCTTCTGGGATTCCAGTTACATGTATGTTAGGTTGCTTGATATTATCCCATAAGGCACTGAGATTCTGTTCTTCTAAATTTTTTCTTTCTCTAATTCAGATTGAATAATTTCTATTGACCTGTCTTCAAATTTATTATCTTAATTTTTTTCCCAGCTTTATTGAGATATAATTGGCATAAAACATTGTATGATTTAAGGTGGACAACGTGATGATTCGATACACATATATATATTGTAAAATGTTTACCACAATAAGGTTAGTTAACATCCTTCACCTCACATAACTACCATTTTGTTGTTGTTATGGTGAGAACAAACACTTAAGATCTACTTGAGAACACTTAAGATCTACTCTGAGCAACTTTCAAGTCTATCATACAGTATAGTCACCCTGCTGTACATTAGATCCTCAAAACTCGTTCCTCTTATAACTGGAAATTTGTACCCTTTGACTAACATTACTATCCTTATTTCTACAATGTCCAATCCCCTGTTGAGCTCATCCTATGAATTTTTAATTTCAGATACTATAATTTTCAGTTCTACATTTTTCCATTTTGGTTCTGTTTTAGACTTTCAGTGCCTTTTCTGCAATAACTCATTATACTGATTAAATGTAATTAAATATATTTAATATATATTTAATATAATTAAATATATTTACTCATTATATCCACCTTTTCATGTAAATTCTTTTTTTTCATCTTTATTGGAGTATAATTGCTTTACAATGGTGTGTTAGTTTCTGCTTTATAACAAAGTGAATCAGTTATACATATACATATGTTCCCATATCTCTTCCCTCTTGTGTATCCCTCCCTCCCACCCTCCCTATCCCACCCCTCTAGGTGGTCACAAAGCACGGAGCTGATCTCCCTGTGCTATGCGGCTGCTTCCCACTAGCTATCTATTTTGCGTTTG